AGGGGAAGGGAAGGAAAACTTTTGCTGACCTGGTTATTATTGACTCTCCTACATGAAATAACCTACTATAATAGATGTTTTCTGTGCCTGATCTATGCATTTTAGACAAAGTGAAGAGAGAGGAAAGCCAAGCTGTAGCTAAATTTGTGGGTGTTTTTTCCTGCTATCAAATAGCCATTGCTCTTCAATTTATCTTCCTTTCTCTACCACAGATAACCCTCCTCTGCCAAAAGAGTCATCTCTAAAATCCCAGTCTATCATATAAACTAAAGAAAGTGAGCAGTAAATGAGAGAAAAACAAACAGGGACTTAGAGAAAGAAAGGGGTGGAGACTGTTGCATGTATCCATGCCTCTGTTTCTATTTTGTTCTTCAGTTTATTTTGTTCATTAGAGTCCACATATAAGTGAGATCATATGATATTTGTCTTTCTATGACTGGCTTATTTCACTTAGCATAATTATCTCCAGATCCATCCATACTGTCCCAAAAGGTTAGAGTCCCTTCTTTTTTACAGCTGCATAGTATTCCATTCTATAAATATACTATAGCTTTTTCTATCCATTCACCTACTGATGGATACTTGGGCTGTTTATAGATCTTTGCTATTGCAAATAACACTGCAATAAACATAGGGTTGCATATATTCTTTCAAATTGGTGTTTCAGGATTCTTAGGATATATTACCAGAAGTGAGATCACTGGGTCAAAAGGCAGGTCCAATTTTACTTTTTTGAAGAAACCCTATACTATTTTCCATGGTGGCTGCAGCAGTCTGCATTCCCACCAATAGTGCACAAGGGTTCCCTTTTACATATGGCCAGTAGACATATGAAAAAGTGCTCAACATCACTAATAATCAGATAAATGCAAATTAAAACCACAATAAGATATCACTTCACACTTGTCAAAATGGCTACCATCAACAAATCAACAAACAAGTGCTGGCAAGAATGTGGAGAATAAACTGTTTTTGAGTGAATTTCAGTGTCTTTCTTTGAGCAGCTGTGGTTCTGAGGATCTCTGCGTGTTTGTGTATGTATGTTTCTTTGTATCTATGACAAAGATCTAAGGTTTGTATCTAAGGTGTGTATGACAGTGATCATTTTTCTTGTTTTGGCTTCGGAAGACTTCCTTTCACTTGCTGTGATTCACTTCACAAAGAGTGGGCCTTATCTCTCTTTGATTTTTATAATCTACAAGATTGGGGGTATGGGCACTAGCGATTTAAAAACAAGTAGAAATCCCATGAAATTCTCTTTTATACAAGTTTTACCTAATTTTGTATTATGAAAAATAATGTGTTATTAGTTCAAGTATGATCCTATACATGACTACAAGAGTCAGAAGGAGGAAACATTACCTGAGCCCAAGCCTCTGCTGTGTCATGCTAAAGGAGTGACAATTTCCACCATTGATCATTTTCTCATAGTCATTATTGGCTTCTAGTAAAGGTACATAGAGCATCTTATTTAAAACACCAATCTGTAGTCCTGATAAAGGAGATATCATTAGGACATGAATTGTTCATCCCTATGAAAACCAAACAGTATAGCATTGAATTAAACCAGCCTGGTTTTATAGTTAGATTCTATATGATCAAATTGTTTAGGACTATTCTCTCTGGCAGGATATATCTTTATGCCATTTCTGCTTAGAAATACTGAAGGAGAGAGACTCTGGAAAACCATTAACAGAGCTGTCTACTCTTATATTTGTTCTCCCAGGAAAACAGAAGTACCTGTGTGCCAGCAGAAATGACTGCACCATTGATAAATTCCGAAGGAAAAATTGTCCATCTTGTCGCCTCCGGAAATGCTATGAAGCAGGAATGACTCTGGGAGGTATGATACTTTTATTCCTTTTTCTTCTCTTCCTTCTCCCTCCCTAATTCTCTGGTTCTCTCTTTAAACCAGATTTTCCTCTTTGATACACCCCACTATGGGGCTATGCATGAAAGCAGGAGGCGTGAAGCAGGGATCAGGGGTGAGTAAGTGTGGACTTGACTATGAAGGGTTCCCCAGAGGACATAATGGTACTGGCCTTATGTTGTTAAATGGTGGTTAGGATGAGAGAACTAAGAATTCAGAACAATTACAGGTGCATGATGACCCAAGCACAGGCTGACCTTGAACACCCAAGAATATCCCTCAGTTAACTGCTGCCAATATTGTAGGGCTGGCCACCTGGAAAGAGAAGCTGCTTCTCTTTGGAGTCTGTGCCTAAGCTGCCAAGCAGCGCCAATTTCCTATTGCACATCTCCTAGGGATGAAGAGGCCTTTTAATCATTTCCTTTTCTTTGCATATCTATTGATCATTTCCAAAAGCTTTTTTTTGGTAGCACAGCAGTTTGACAGAGATAAAATGCAGCTCTTTCAAGGGCTACTCCCCATCATAAGGTTCTCTGTTCCCTAGTCTGTGTCAGTCGTGAGCACTGGCACCATTCCAGAAAGGCTTAGCTGACACATATCCCCCCACCTAATTTCTCATTTCTTCATGTTTATATCAGCTTAATGCCAGAGTCATCTCTGCTGCCTGCTGCTTCCAGAAAGGTGCACCCTTCATGAGCAAAGCAAGCTCATTAGTCTACTTTGATTTTCAAAATGGAACTTGAGAAAAGATAAGCCTATTTCTGAATGCCTAAAACTGTAGCTTCATACTTGATTACTCATTATCAGCCTGGAAAATCTATGTCTATGTGCCTAGAATCCTGCCCTCTCCCCTCCTCTCTCAAGGCTAATTTAAAGCACTTGTCCATCTCTAGTTTTTTGTGTGACATGCACAATACCTTGTCTGCCTATGTGCATATTTATAAAAACCAACTTGTTTTCTAACCATGTGTGGGTTTTCATGGAGATAACTGTATGCTCCCTTCCTTATAGGCCAGTAATAGTCTTTAAACAGACCAAAAAGCACTACAAATAAATTGACCCAGGCTCAATATGAGACTGTTTTAACAGAAACATCTCAAGTAGTGTCTAGTATTCCCAGACATTGCAAGCAGATGCTCTGTGAGTGGTTTTCCAGGCAACCATATAAAATGAAACTCAAATATGAAAAAAAAAAAAAAAAAAAAAAACCTTGT